TATCTATCCTATATAGTTAAATCTCATCTCATTCAATACTTCCTTAGCTTAATAAAGTTGTTAATTAATAGTCAAAGATGTCAATGTCTTCATTGGTTAATGAGGACATTGACATCTCTGACTATTGATTAACAACCCCTATTAAGCCACAATGGACAATATATTTAAATCTCATCCCATGCAACACCTCCTTGACTCAATAGGGGTTAGTTAATAGTTGTTAATGTCTTCATTAGCCAATAAATACATTAACATCTTTGATTATTGATTAACAACCCCTATTGAGCCATAGTGATAGTATATCCAAATTTCACAATATTTCCTTGGCTCTCTCGAACATTTGAGGTGGTTTGATATAACGTATGTGATCATAAGATGAGATTTAGATATACTATTACTATGGATCCTTAAAACTTTAGAGGATAAATGGGGATAAAATAAGCATTAAATATATATTTGAGAGATGTTATTAACTATTGATTAAAAACCTTTATTGAGCCAAGGGGAATTATATTTCCACACTAAATTTACTAATCCTTTTATTATATAAATCAGCTATCACACATGAGGCAATTAGTCATCCATCTGTACTGTAGTCCTATAGTGGATACCTTCGTCTATCATGAATGTCAATTGGGGTAACGAAGTCTATATACTTATGCAAAATTCAATTAAAGAATCTATTTGAGAAATTGAGCAATGTTATATGTTGAGACTTGAAGGCACACTGAAAGTAAGCTAATTAGCATGGTTTAGTTAAGTCGACTAAGCATAAAGAACTATGCTTGACTCCCCCCCAGGGATGTCAAATTTGTAGATGTATTCTATAGAAATTGAGTTCAAGTCCCAACCCCCTAGTAAAGCAAGATTGGGTTCAAGTCCCAACCCCATATTAAGGCGTGGTGAGTTGAGGGATATAAGGACACTTATACTCTGTTGTCATGGGCTCTTGGCTGGGAGGTTAACTTAGGCACATCACTAAATGGGGGGATGGCCTTAGAGACATGGTTAACAAGTCATAGGATTAAAAAGTGATATTTGATGTGAGCATCGAATTTTTTTTATGGGTGGTGGAGTTGTAAGGAACTAACTCCTTGAGGTGTTGTAGGTTGAAGGATCCCCGAAAGCATGACCAAAATAATAAAAAGTTCATCAAATAACACTAAGTCCGAGACTGACTCTACGACTAAGTTCGAGATTAAGTCTAAAGTTTGAGATTGGGTTCGAGACAGAGTCTAAGATTGAGTCTGAGACTAAGTCTGAGTCTTAGTATTACTGGTACAATAGGTGGGAACCTTGGTAAAGGAACTTAACTAAGACCAAATCAATAGTGGTTAAATAGACTAAGTAAGCTGGCAAATTAGAAAGAAAAAATTTTGTGGCTTACAAAAAGTAGTCTTTGAGAAAGACTATGAGAGGGTTGCAAAATTGAGCTGTGGATATAGCCCACAGTAGAAATGCTAAAAAGATTTACTAAAGGTGAACACCCCTGGACATAGCAAAGCAAAGCCTTTGCTATAGAATAGAAATAATACCTCAAGGATGGAAATAATAATTATATATTACTTAGTGCAACAATCAAAAGATAAAAGCAAAAAACTAGTGGCCAAGAATGGGTTATGGAAATCATTGGAAACAATCTAAATGGCAAAGTTAGGTGAGGAACACTCATGTGTTTAATGCTAATGAATTATGGGAAAGGAAATATATTTCTAAGGATGGATTCTTAATTTAGCGAAAATGAAAGCTCCAAGACAGCAAGTTAATCAAATAATAGAATTATGGATAACCATAGCATAAATTATGGATATATAGTATGGTATGAAATAGAAGAGAGGATAATGGTGCCTTCAAGTAAAGAACTTCCTAAGATGGGGAAATGGAGTTTGCACCATATGTGCAATGTAAAATGTTGGAAACACCTAAGAAACTGACTTGAGAAGTCAAAATAAAAGTTTTAAAATGCAATAGTTATATTGATAGAAGCTAAGACTACTCGAAAATGAGTAATGGGATTGAGATATGTGTCTTTAATGGGTTTAGCAAGGACTAAACCAATAAAGGAAGAGAACCACTATAAGTGGTCGAATAAGTCTTTAAGTTGAAGAGACTATACTCCTTAGAGAATAGGAAAGGCATAGTGAGCCTTTGGTGTCAAACCATCAATGAATATTAGCTTAGTACTAAGGATGAAAAGGGTAATACATGTTAGTATTACTTTATAAAATGGTTTTTTGTTCGATGAAAATATCAGACTTCATTTATAGGTGGTGGAGTTGTGAGACACAAATCCCTCAACTCCAAAGTGAGTAAAAAGGGTATCACATGGTAGGATCGAAGCAAAAGTCCAAAAAGCGTAACATGTTTGGACCAAAGGCTCCGACTTGAAAAGTCGAGAGTGGAAGTGGAACTCCAAACAAAGTGCTCGAGGAATTAGCATAAAATAATCAGTGAATTAATCTCTCAAAAAGTGACACAAGAAGAATTAACACATGGCAAGTGTCATGACATATGGAAGTGTCAAGAATGAGTCCAAGAAAGGGTCCACAATGGAGTTAGAAAAGGAATCTAAAGTGGAGTTTAAGATGGAGTTTGATATGAACTCAAGTGTAAGTGACTAAATTTTCCATTCTACTTTAGTGATTTAATTATACCTTTAACCACTTGGAGGAGTCTCACTCACAACCTTCATAAGTCCTACTCTAGACCTAGAACTTACTAGCCTCGAGAATGGCATCCATACCACTCAACCTTGGCACTTGGTCCAAATGCTTCACATGTCCAATCCTATGACTGATATCTAAAA